ACGCTCAACGTCAAGCAAAGAAGCTACGCTCAAAGGAACCCTGCTTAAAGAACATGTTGCATGAACGAGAGTCGGTTCTTCCAACCGCTTGCACAGACATCCGAGCCCGTTCTCCATCGAGTGCCCGATATGCCCCTAGCATGGTGTGGAGCGAGGCACCAATCTTGGAATTAGAGGCGCTTGCAAACCCCAACAAACTTCGCCATGCCAACGAGTCCCCACACACTGCCTCTCCCAGATACTGAATTGCTAAAAAGGCCCCGTTTTAGAAATTTCGAACATCCATATTCGTGTATCTGGCAATATTCAGATATCGGCCGATAATAGAAAACTGATAAAGCCCCCATGTCGGGTTTTAGAAGTTTCTGCATGCCAGATAACCATGAAAAGCTTCTACATGCACCGGAACGGTGAAAAGCAAGATGAACACGCAAATTCGGTATCTGAGACTCTTGCGGTCAGCTGCCGTTCATCTTTTTTTCCTCGGTATCTAGATACATAAGGCATGGAAGCTTCAAATGCAAACACAAAGGTTATAAGAACCTTAACCTCAAGTGAACGGCTACTCCATGACGTGTTTGATGATTCAACCCGAAAACCTTACACTGTCGAACAATATTGTGCTCGTGTGATGCGGCTATTCAAGAGCATATATGCTCCAAAGGAGGATTTCGAGAATTTCGATTGGGTGAAAGATACGACCACGATCATAGAGTATCTGGATAAGGTGTACTGCGACAAACTACCAACACAAGCTACGAGCATAAGTCCGCTACTCGTCATCGCCCGAAAGCTATGGCCCAGCGATCAACGGATCTACGAGGCACTCTTTAAACGATACACGGCCGTTCGAAAGGCCATGGAAGACGCTCGGCCTGCCCAACACATGTCGGAGCGAGAAGCCAAGAATTGGAAAACGCTTGACGAGATTAATCAACGTCGTGTTGAGCTTCAAAGGAAGATCAATCGTTCCATAGCGCCAAAGAAGCCGGAAGAGGTCACTGTTGCGGACAAAGTAACGCTTTGCCGATACCTCGTCCTCTGTCTCTACACGCAAATGCCCGCAATTCGTAATGATTGGAGCGATCTTCCCATCGTGCGCTTTGAGGAAGCGAGAAACGCTGCCGCACGCGAATTGATGTCTGGATCTCGCAACTATCTGTTAGAGCATGCAAAAGGCAGCTATCGGCTTCATCTCAAGTCTTACAAGACGGACAAGACACACGGCCCACAAGTTCTCGACATACCAACCCGGCTTTGCAATGTGATTGCTGAAAGCCTCACTATTTTTCCACGAAAGTACCTTCTTAGCCGAATGAGGACACCAGATGCTCCAATGGGATCAGGGTATTTGACCAAGTTTCTAGCGGCCATTTATCCTGATTCAAATTTGGGTTCGTGCCTTCTTCGAAAGATCACTGTCAGCAATGCAATGAAGGATGCACCAAGCCTCTATGAAAGAGATCAGCTTGCCAAGTCAATGTTGCACACAACACCGATTGCGATGCGCCACTATGAGCTCAAGTACAAACCCGATGGATCTCGGATCCAATTTTGAGCAACCGTTCGCCACTTGCGGCCTCTTAAGACACTTCAATGCAGCTTGTGAAGGCGCCCAATGAAAGGCCCGTGGGTTCTTCGGAACAACATGTGTTTTGCGGCACCTTATAGCCAGCATCAATCAGTCGCTGAGCCGTTGTTTTGTGGAGTTTCTTTGTGGTGCCCGAAAGAAATCGTTTGTAAGCCTTTTGAAGCAGAATGTTCTCTCGATTCCGACCATAGTACCTGCGAACGTTTTGCGCGTGTTGCTCATGGTGCTCTTTTTGGTACGCGCGGCTTGTCTCGCAGACACGGCAATGACATGGATGGATCTTGATATCACTCGAGGAATACGTGCTTTGGACCATGATGCCCTATGATTAGAATTCGAAAATAAGTTGTATGAGAACGCAGCAGTTGGCGGTGAAGCGCGTTTCAATCAGCCCCATTATTTCCTGACTAGAGTACAGACATCATGGCCATGCAAGCAGCTGTCCAAGCTCCTAGCTCTATGGCCTCGGCCCCAGAAGACCCCAAGGCCCGTGGGCCTCGATGTATTAGAGACGAGATCCAACGACTTGCAGATAATGGCCTATATGCGCTTCCCGTCTCTGTCTCGTGGGATGAAGATGAGGGCAAAAAGAAGGGTGACTTCCCTAGGCGCTATGCACACATCAAGACCCCGGAAGCATGGGAGGGATCATTTGATTCTTTCATGAAGGGAAAGCGAGATGCAACTGGGCTTGCAATTTTTACAGGAGTTAGTAAAGTGTATGTGGTGGACCACAAGCTACCTATGGTGGGTACCGGCCGAGTCAATTTTGACTCCGACCGCTACAAAATTGTAATACCGCGTATCGAATTCCGTCAGTGATACCGGCGGTTCACGTCACGGCAACTCAGGTTTCTGTTACTCGGGCGGTACAAGTACTCAGACAATATTGCTCGGCCGTAAGTCAGTGTTACAGGAGTGAAAGACAGTGTTATGTTTTACACTTGTGTGTGAGCATCAAACTGGCACACAAAGAAGAGCCTTATGCAGCCCATAGAAAGCTCTGACAAGCAAAGAAAAATGTTGGGAGAGCACCTTGAGGGTTTGTTTGAAGACCCAACATAAGGAAATGTCGAGGACAAATCGGAATAAGCACCATACAAGCCTCAAAGTCGGCCGGCATTGCTTGCTCTTGAAATGCGCCTTTTCCTACACTCTTCTTTCAACTTCCTGCACTCCTCTTTCAAGTTAAGTACCGCGGTACCCTCAGGTGGTTCGAGTCGGAACTTCCGACAAACACCATGAAATTTCAAATTTGCGGACGCGCAGACTTGCGCGGTACTGTACCGCCGAATATACCGGAGTTTACCGTTCGTCGACATGTCAGACAATTTCCAATTCATGAACTCGGACCGGATTCTAAAGTACGGCCGAGTACGGTCGTCAGTACCGTGTACATGAAATGTCGCGACGCGTAACACCGGTGAGTCAATTTGGTGACGGTACCGTCGCGCGATCGAGACCGCCGACACCCACCATAGGTAGCTTGTGACATAGACGTAGCTGGCAAGGACGAGAAGCAACCGGGGATTGAGCTTTGGGAGCAACTCGTTAAAATCCATGGGGAGCCAGAGACACTCAAAGCAAGGACCGGCTCTGGTGGATTGCACATGTACTTCAAGCTCGACTCGCCTCATCTCACGTGGAAACGGAACTTTTCAGGTGTAAAGGTCGACAATGGAACCTTTGGCATTGATGGACGTGGAGTTGGTGGCGTTATATTTGCTCCACCAACAAGCTATCAAAAGGCCCTTGGCGAGCTTGCAACGTATGAATGGATTGATGGACCTCCCAGCTATGAAGCATGCAAGGACATGCCCTTGTGGCTCGCGGAGATGGTGAATGACCATGCCGGTAAGCGTGCATCCATGAGCGAAGGTGACAAGAGGGCCATTCGTAAATCTCCGGTGGTGTTTGAGGATATCGAGCGTCCATTGGCTGCAACTCAATCCATCAGTGGGTCTCATGAAAGATCGACGGCAGTCCACGAGGTGCAAAAGATGCTCTTGCAGAGGACAAAAGAAGATGGCGATGCACGCTTTGGAGGCACAACGGTGCTTTCAGAGGGCAACCGTGCTTTCCAATTTCGCGTAAACAGGCCAAGAACATGCTATCTTGGACGGCAGCACAACGGATCAAACAACTTCACCGTGATCCAAGGATGTGCAGGCGACTTTCGCAAGGTATACTACCACTGCTTTGGCTCAGCTTGTCAGCACGATAACGTCAAACTTTTGGAAGAGTTGAGTATCTCCGCCGCTTTTGAGCAAGCTTTGACGGATGAATTTGGGATGGAAGACCAGAAGGTTACTAGTACGAGCAATCTTGAAGCACGGCTGCCGACAGGATTCATGAAGATCATGGTGTGTCGGAGCGATTTTGGTGCCGCCTCAATCTTTGCCAGATTGTTCCAGCACGACAGGCGAATTGTGTACGACGCAGGAAGCTTTTGGACATGGAACGGAAGATCGTGGATTGCATGCGACATAGAGGCGACGTTGATCAAGAGCACGTTTATGTGCCACATGGGAAAGGTGAAAGTCTTTTGGATGAAGCGCAACACGGAGGAGAGTCGTGAAAAGATTTTGGAAGCGGAGCGCGCACGAGATGCTAGTCTGGCAGAGCTCCGCAGTGCGGATAGAGACGCTCGCTCCAAAAGGACCGCTGAAGCAGCCATCATGAAGACCTTCAAAGCGTCGGCAAAGGATGCCGATCAACTCGCTAAATGGCCGGGACCCGATGTTGAATCAGTGCCAATTGCGAATCGATGTTTGACTCCGTTGAGAGCGATGTTGAGGCTTGATGGCTTTGCAAAAGAGCTCAATGCAAACCGAGACTTTCTCAATACCACCTCAGGCGCAATTTATCTACCAACGGGCAAGCTCATACCACATCATCCAAGCAACATGCTCTCGAGAGAGACCGACACCGAGTATGTTGGACCCGACTATCCATCACCGCTGATTGATGACTTCATGCTGCAGATTCAAACGTCAGACATCATTCAGATTTTGCAAATGACGCTTGGCTACGGCATCACCGGACATTCAAGAGAGAAGCAATTCATCATCTGCTATGGGCCTTCGAATTCAGGCAAGACGAAACTTCTTGCTCTTGTAAAGGCGGCAATTCGACTGTACTTTTGCACGATGGACCGCGATTGCGTGATTGGAGTTGGTGCAAGATCAGAAGGCGCCGCTACACCACATCTCTTGAAGCTCGAGGGTGCGCACATAGCTGGTCTTGAAGAGACAAAACCGGAGGATGTCTACAACGTTGCAAATGTGAAATCCATCTCGTCAGGTGACGGAGGACAAAGTGTACGAGGGTTGCATAAGCAACCAGTCGACATCACATACCGATGTCTGCCAATCATTTGCACAAATTCGCTACCCAAATTCGACGTGAAGGATAGCGGTACTCTGAAGAAGCTTCGCGTCTTCCCCTTTGAACGAGAGTTTGTTGAACGGCCCAAGCCCGATACCAACGAGCGACTAATTGACTATCAACTCTCTGAAAAGATCGAGAGTCCGGAATGGAGGAAGCAAATGCTTGCTTGGCTCGTACGAGGAAGCATGGCGTGGTATGCAAGGGGGAGTCTGCCGCAAGTCGAAGAGCTACCAAACAAGATGCAAGACGCTCTGAAGGGTTACGTGGAGGCAAACGATCATCTCGAGAATTTCATTGCCGACCATTGCGTCAAAGGCGAGAAATGGGCAACCCATGTTGATGTACTCAAGCAAGCGTTTGAGAACTATATTGGGAGGCGCGATTGGCCAATGACCGTCACCGAGTTCAAGGCAATGATGCAAGGTGTGAAAGGGGTCACGTACAAAAAGCAAGTGAAGATATCGGGGCGCAACACAACCGGTTATAAAGGAATCAGCTTACGGCAATGCTACTATTCAAGCAGTGATCCGACTACCAAGTCATAAACAACAGAGAGCTCGCTCAACAATAGCCTGAGCTCTGGGACACAAGCAAGTGGGTTGGAGCTTGGTAGGCGAGGTAGTCCAGAGGTAGGTCGAAAGTAGGTGTTTGAAAAATGCTTATTGTAGGGTTGTAGTATGGTTTCTATTATAATGAAAGGTAGGTAGGTAGGTATTGTTAATACATATCAGGCAATAGTCATTTCTGTCACTGTTGATTGTGCAAAAATTTCCTCATTGGCAAAAAGAAATGTCGTCTACCCTACCTACCTACCTACCTCAAGGTCGTTCCAAACGATGATTCCGTCCATCCACCACAATTGCTGACACCCTACCACTCCTCTCCCCTACCACCTACCACCTACCACCTACCACCTACCAGACCATTGCTCTTCAAAAAGCGTGCTACTCTTCTTGTTGGAACCTTGCAACATCTATTCTATCCTTGCAACAGTCGAGCGCGCACCCCGACCGACCACACGCCTGCTGCAATCGCTATCGCTAGCTTTCCGTCATCCACTCTCTTGAGCGTCTGATTGTAGCCTCCGAGCAACAGGGGAAGAACCACCATGAAGCTCTCGAGTCCTGAGTACCAGCCCAAAGACCGGAACCCCTTCAAGAAGGAGTTGACCGACTCGACGGCGGATGTGTTGACCCAGTGGAGTGCGTCATAGTTGTTCGCGCAGTTTGATGGACCGCACTTGTGCACCTCTTGTCCCGCCTTCGAAAAGTGGAACCTGTGTGAGAAAAGGTGTACATGAGCTTCAAACCATAACATAAGCACTTATGTACACGTTCTTGAAACTCATGCACCCCAAGATTTGACTCCAAAGAGTCGCATTACACCCAAATTTCCAAGCCTCTTGCTAGCATCACAAAAGATTGTGCCAGGACTCACCTGTCAACCACAAAGCGCACGTTGGCAAAGTGCGCGGGCGCCCTCCTCAAGCAGTAATTGCGGAGCGCGCACGCGTTGTCGTACACGAGAGTTTTAGGCAAATCCTCGCGCCTCAACCTCGTGTAGAGCACCGTGAACGCGTCCCTTGGGCTCTCTCCTCGCAGCATCGTGTGGAACCCGTAGATGACGCGATGCGGACAACAAAAGACAAACACCCCCCTACTCCTGTCCGGCCGCTTGCTAGCACTCCCCTTCTTTCCTGAGAGCTTTCCGGTCCCCTTCACCAATCCAGCCACGTGCTCCGCGTCCCATTCGGTCACGGTCTTCCCCGTGGCGCATTTGAATCCCTCCGAACTCCGACTGCGGCCGTCCGGATGCTCGAAGGTGCTATAATGAGGCAAGCCTCGCCGATGCTCCCAACCGGGGAAGCTATAGCAAGCCAACGCGTCCTGCTCGGCTCTGAAAGCGTGCCCCGCTGGCAGCGGGCGTAGCTCGGCCCCCTCTTCATCCCGTCCTAGCCTCTCTCTCAGAAGCGCCCGCTCATGGTCGCTCATTCGCCCCCATTGCTCAGGGCTCGGCTCCAATCGCTCGACCCCCGAGAGCAGCTCGTTTGCCAAAGTTCGAGCTTCGTCCAACTGCCGACTCTCCTCGATCGACAGAAGTCGCACCCGGCCCTCCGTGAGCCAAGCAACCGCCTTGTCGAGAGGATAGATGGCCTTGTGAACCCATCCAAGCCGCCCCTCGGCCTCGAACCCCGTCGCCCCTCGAGCTAGAAGCGCCAGCAGATACAGCTGATGCAGCGTGCGCATGAAGAAGGTGGGGAACGTGAGCCCTCCGTACGCGTCCAAGAGTTGGCGAAGGATGGGGGCATCTCTCCCCAACTCCCGACGCTCCTCGAGTGATGCCCGCCCACCAAGCAGCAACTTGCGGACCACGTGAAGCGCGCTAGCACCGATGAGGTCCTCGTCTGAGTCGTGAGCCCCCAGCAAGTAGAGCAACGCCGTCCACTCCCCAACCCACGACTCCCAAAGGTTGGCATTGTGTAACGATTACGATTGGTTAAGCCTAACCTCGTTCTCGACAAGATTTCGTTGACCTGCGGGTTAGCGAAACGGCGGTGGTTACGTCTTAACGACGCACTGCGTGGCTGTCTGCAAGACGCCGTAATATCCCGGATGGATCGGCTTCAGTGAGCCGATATCACCGTTCAGGATAAGTTGTGTTTGGCTTCGCCGTTCGATGCAGCCAAGCTTATCTGTGCTCTGCACAGCTTGCGTGGCTGGTCTTGTCAAAGGAAGTGGACAAGAGAGAGCTATACGATT